TTGCTGCTGCTGCGGAGTCCGAAGCCACCTGCTGCTTCTCCCCCAACAAAGCTGCAGCAGATCTGGACCCCGCGGAAGTCGCAGCAGCAAAATTCAAAATCAGAAAAAGGCAGTTCATGGGAGGAGGTGAGCTCATACGCAGCAACAGCAGCAGCAGCAGCAGCAGCAGCAGAGGTTGCTGCAGCTCATTTTATTCTTTTTTCACAGATTCTCTTCAAGACATTTACGAAATGTACGCGGCCAGCGGCATGGCCCCCCGGACTTCGATGTTGGAGTTAGTGGGGGGCCCCGAGGAGCTGGAGGGCCCCCGTCAGTTCTTAGCTAAGGGGGGCCCCTCTGGGGGCCCCCCGGGGGCCCCCCTGGGGGCCCCCCTGGGGGGCCCCCTGGGCAAAGAAGAAGAAGATGAACTCGAAGAAGAAGAGGGGCCCCCCGGAGGCAAAACTGCAAGAACTGCTGTACCCTGGGGCCTCATTGCGAGGCCTGACACTGACAGCATGGTTGCTTTTCATCCCGAGTTGTCTTTGTTTTATCAGCAGCAAGAAGGTGCAGCAGCAGCAGCAGCAGCAGCAGCAGGAGACGCAGCAGCAGCAAGACAAGTCCCCATGTTCGCCCCCCCCAAACTGCTCTGCGATTTGCTCGCGCTGCTGCCCAAGGCAAACGGCAAGCTCAGTGGGTCTTTGTTTTATTTTATTTTGTTTTATTTTTTATTTCTTTTTTCTTTTTTATTTTATTTTTCTCCTTAAATCTCGTTTTATGTGGGTGGGTCTTTATTTGCATTTTATTTTATTTTTTAATTCTTTATCTTTTTATTTTTCTCGTCTTGTGCGGGGTGCGGGTCTCTATTTGCATCTTATTTTGTTTTGTTTTGTTTTATCTTATTTCATTTTTTCTTTTTTATTTTCTAACCCATTTTGTTGTCCTCTAGCTCCTATTTGATTCCGTGCGTCTCGTTTTATGTGGGTCTTTATTTGCAGTTTATTTCATTTACTTTAATTTAATTTAAAATCTTTTATTCATTTTCCCCTGTATGTTTCTTTTACTGTGCCGTTTGTGGGGTCACAGTTTGGGGCTTTTTCCTCTTATTATTACATGCGCATGCACGTCAACTTCGTGCAACTTTGCATGCAACTGGCTGCGAAGTTTTGCATTAAAGGCTTTTGTTTCATCATTTGGGGTTTTGTTTGATAATATTAAATATCTATTTCACTTTTTATTTTTTGAACTTTTTGAACTGCGGTTGTTTGAAGCTGGCGCTGCTGTACGTACACCCGGTGCAGCAATAAGACTTTTTCTTTTCTCGATTTTCTGCTGCTGCCTCTGCAAATTAATGCAAAGAATAATTAAAAGTGAAAAATAATTGAAAGTATAATCAGTGTGACTGCCCACGTGGAGTGTATCATCCAGTCTTCTCGTTTGGATTTGGGGTGTACGTACACCTGAAGCTGGTACAGTCTGGGGTGTACGTACACCTGAAGCCGGTCCATTCCGGGGTGTACGTGCAGCTCATTATGCAAATTTCGGATTTTTTTCCGTTTTTTTTGTGACCTCCGCGTTTTTCAAGATTTGTTTGAGTCTGAGGTGTACGTACACCTGAATGTGCATGCATGCGCAGCCGCGGACCCCGACATGGTCGATTATTTACTTTCTTTTCTCCAGTCTTGCCGGCTGCCGCCGCTGCCTCCTGTGGAGCACCGGCCCATAGTGATAAAGGACCTTTTGGCGCTGAGACATTCCCAGCTGAACTCGCTCCAAGTGAACAAACAAAAGGTGAGGAGCAGCAGCAGCTTGCGCAGCAGCAGCAACTTGCTGCGCTGCAGCAACTTGCGCAGCAGCAGCAACTTGCTGCAGCGGACTGCAATTAACAGCAGAGACACATACACAGATAAAAGCACCAGAGGCTCACGTTCACGCCGTTTCCTGCTGCTGCTGCTTGTGCTGCTGCTGCTTTTGCTGCTGCTGCTGCTGCTGCTGCAGGAGGCTGGGGGAGAGGAGTCCGAGGGTGGGGGCAGCAGCTCGGACTTGGAGCGAGACGAGATGTCGGACAGTTTGTCCGCAGAGGAGCCGCAGCGGGGCTCTTCAGCAGCAGCAGCAGCAGCAGCAGCAGCAAGCCAGCTGGCGGACTTCTCGCGGCAGGCGCTGGGGGCCTCGGGGCTGCAGCTGCCCCCCGCAGTCTACGGGGGCCCCCACTTGGTGCTGCCAGCAGCAGAGAACCTGCTGCACTCGCGGCGGCTGCTGGCGCCGGCCGTGCTTCCGGGTGTACGTACACTGTGGGCCGGTATGAACCTGCTGCCGGGGCCCTACGCCCACGTGGGGGCCCCACAGCTGCACCCCGCAGTGCCGCTTCCTTACGGAGTTTCTGTTGCTGCTGCCAGGCCCATGCAGGGCATGCCTTTGGGGGGCCAGCCGCTGCACCTCTGGCGGGTCCCAGACGCTGCGGGCCGCGCCTTCGCCCCCAAGAAGAAGACCAGGTGAACCTCCAGTTTTGCTGCAGCAGCAGCAGCAGCAGCGGCTGCAGCGGTAGCGGCAGCGGTAGCGGCGGGGCTGCACGGGCTGCGGACGCGCTCGAGTGCGGAGGCTGCAGCACTTAGTCTTTTAGCTGCTGAGAGGCTGGAGGCCCCAGGGGCGAGAAGTGCAGCAGCGGAGGCCCGCGCAGTGCAAATTGAGGCTGAGGGTCTGCAGGGTTGATGTAGCGAGAATAGGGAATTAGGAGATTCAGAAAAGGAAGCAAAATTAGCCGTAGGGTAGAGTTTCGCGCTGCTTTCCAGAAAGCCAATTGGGGAATGCGCGATTAGGGAGGAAACCGCGGACTTGCGCCGAGTTTGGATTCAAATAAAGAGAAAATGTGCAGAAAATATTCAGAAAAAACAAAAAGAAGAAAGAAAAATGCACCATAGGACTTCAAGAAGTGACGTTCCTTCCACGTGCGCCCGCGGCACAAATATTCAACTTTTTCGGGTGTCTAGGCAGCTCAGCACTCCGGATTCTCATTATTTAGAGGGTATTTCGTGTAAAAAAATGCGCAATTAGATGCAGCATTTCTTTTTTAATTTTTTAATGGATATGCGGTTGTGTTTTATCTTGGTTTCTCTCTTTATTTCCGGCGTTCTGCGCGCGCACTGCACGGCCGTCCGCAGCAGACAAGGGGTGGTTTCCGCGAACTCCGAGGCTCCAGAGAAGAAAGCTGATGAAGAAGAAGCGAAAGAAAGTGAAGAAAATGAAAAAGAAGAGGAAACAGAAAAAGAAGGCAAGTTTCCGCGAAGATCCTTGCAGTTCAACTTTTCTTGAATTCGCGCTGCAGCGGAAACCGAGGCGGAGGAAATGGGTAAATGAGACGCAGCAGCCAAACTTGCAAACTTGCATGCAATTTAAACTTTGAAAAGATTATTCTTTGGCGGCTAAAAACTTGGAAACTGAAATTAACCACAGAGAGCAGCTGCAGCTGTCGGAGAGGAAAGCGGTGGGCGAGCTGCGCTGCTGCTGCTGCTGCTGCAGCTGCGCACTTGAATTCAAAAACAGCTTTTTGCAAAAAATGAAATAATTGAAACTTCTCAACAGGAACAAAAGGCGGAAAAAGAAGTCGAGAAAGTTGAGGCGAAGCCCCCGGCGTGTTCAGTGCAGCAGGTGGGTTTTGAGCAGCAGCAGCAGCAGCAGCAAAACTTGAATTTGCAATTTGAATTTTTCGTTTTTTTCGCTGTCTCCGCGGCAACAGACTGGAAAGCTTCTGGTGGCCAAAGACCCCACAGATGTTCTTTCTGTGGGGCCCTTTGCAGCCACAATTGCAAAAAGACACTTTACTGTGCATTACCCCGGTGAGCAGCAGCAGACCATTTTCACTTTTGCTGCTTCTTTTGTACCTCAATTATTTTCCAAACTTGCAAATAGACCACCCCGAGGCGCCCTTCATTAAAATCCCCATCATTGAGATTCAAACGCCGCTCGAAACCCTCAAAAGAAGCCGCAGATGTCCGTCCAAACCCTAGGGTTTAAGGTTTAGGGTTTAGGGTTTACGGGGTGGCAGGCTTCAGGCTGTTCCACAAGGGCTCGCCGCGTCTGCTCTGCGCAGAAACCACTGCAGAGCGAAAGTGAGTTTTCGTCATTTCTGTCTTTGAAAAATCTGCAAAGAGCCATTTCAACTTCATTTAATTTATTTCTTTCTTCTCCAAAACAGCAATTGGATGAAAAGTATTTATAAAGCCATCTTTTGCATCAACACTGAAGTTCGTCCGCCAGAAAGTTCTGCGCCAGAAGTCCCGCCGACGGGTAATTTGGCCTTCGCGTTTTGAGCTGTACGTACACCTCAACTTGAATGCAGAAAAAGGAGAGCAAGTTGAACTGCCCGACAAAAGCACCAAAGTGGAAGTCAGTTGGTTCTACTTTAATGAATTCTTTCGAAACATTTCAGTTAAATAGTTAAATGAAACAATTCGATTAAATTGGTTCCTATTTTTCAATTCCTTTCTTTTCATCTTTCCGTCTCTTCCAGCGCTGGACTGCCCAACAAACCAAACAAAGTGAGCCAACTCTCCGCCTATTTAGCAGCTAGCTTGCTGCAAAAGTCAAGCAACTAGCTAGCTAGCTAGCTAGCTAGCTAGCTAGCTGGCTGGCTAGCTAGCTAGGTGCTTGATTAGCTAGCTAGCTAGCTAGCGCTGAGCGTCGTTTGTTGCGGTGTATGTACAGCGTGACTCTCAGGGGAGAAGATGTTTGCAGAGGCGGAAGTAAGTAAAAAAAAAGCAAAAAGAAACGAATTAAAAGTGGCTTTTAAATAATTGAACAGGGAGGAGAAGTTGAGGCCAAAGAGGAGCAAAAAGGAGTTCCCGAAATAGAGGTCTGGGTCTTTGAAATTAAAAACAAATAAAAATCTAATTTATAATAATAATGCAGATCAGCGCGGGACAGTTTGGCCAGCCGCCCAAGGTGCGTGGGGTGTACATACACTGCAGCGCTGCAGAACTGAGGAACAATAAAAGCACAAAACGGAAATCCAAATCACTTTTACTTTTCCAATGTTTTCTCTCCTCAGGTTTCTGTCAACGGAGACGAAATTGCAGTCCCCACGCTTTCCAAAACAGAAGACAAAATGAACGCAGGATCCATGGAACCCTAAACCCTAAACCCTAAACCCTTGGAATTAGGCGTCGTAGGCGGCGAGTCTGTCTTTGCGCACGCCTAAGATCCTAAACCCTGAACCCTGAGTGCTAAACCCTAGACGCTTAACGTTAAACCGTAGCTTCTAAACCCTAGCTTTTTGATGCTAAACCCTAGACGCTAAACCCTAGACTAAACCCTAAACCCTAAATACTAAACCCTAAACCCAAAACCCTAAACCCTAAACCCTATAGACCACAGAGAGTCTCTGAGAAGTAGATGGC